CGGCCCCCCCCGCCCCGCCGCACCCACCCCCATGCCGACGCCCCCGCACCCACACCCACACCCACACCCACACCCACACCCACACACCCACACCCACACCCACACCCACCCACACCCAACCATTAAATGTACCTTCATGGGTTGATCTTGCTTTAGTATGGCCTAGTTATTCATTGTCAATGTTACGTCCACTAGTTTATATTAAATATAATCGAGAATTTCGAACATCATTTCATGAAATAATTTGTTGTCGTTGTAAAGGTTTAAATGAAAAAATTCAACAACAAGAATATGTAAAAAATTTATATAAACAAAATCAATTACAACCAACAACATTACCTTATATAACATCATCTACAAGAAATAGTGACAATCTTGAAGCAACTATATGATACAGTGTAATACGCATCTAAACAAATAAAACAAAATCTTTTTGTTTTTCTAAAGACATATGACAGTAGTGAACATATATAATACTCGTCAACTGGTTTCCCTAATCAATATATGAATCGAGATGAATCTTTTTATTTGGGTATCTTTTTTGCTTTGTTTTGAAACTTTTATTTTATATCACTGTGTGTGAGTGTTTTTTTCACTTATTCAACTACCCATACCAGACTCACTCAGATATACCTCCAATTAAATCCTTTTTAATTATGGCCCTTTCATCTCTAGCTCCACAACAAAAGTAGGATGTGGATGTGAGTGTGAGTTTGGATATTGAAGATTTCTTTTTACCCATACTCACACCCAATATATGGACAATATTTTAACAATATTCAGCGGTCCAATTAAAAACTTTTATCTACTAATAATCAGTGAAGGGTCCCTGATCAATTGACATAAATATATCCTCTATATTTGGAAAAAAATTTTTTCAAGCCCTAGGATCCTAGAGGGTGGGAGGTACTGCAATAGGTTGCAGGTAATAGATCTATTATTTCTTGTACAAATTTTGATTTCGATTACACAGATTTGATTTATGCATGAATCTCTATAAAAATCGACAAATATCTTATATTTACTGGAAAAAATGTTTCTTCATATTCCCGTACCTCGTTTCAGGGTCCTAGGGGTCAAAAATGTTTTTGTTTCATATATAAACGATATATTTGTGTTAGTTGATCAGGGGCCCTTCACTGATTATTGGTAGATAAAAGTTTTTAATTGGACCACTGAATATTATTAAAATATTGTGGATATACCGATTCCTTTATATATGAAAATAGGCTATTTTAGGGAAAAACCTTATGAGTTGACAATGAGCCCTGCTGTTCCGAAAAATGTTATCTATAAAACATGTAGAGATTGATAGTATGCAGGTTTTGACAAAGTTTCACGTTAGTACTGTACTCAATTGTCCTGAGGCACAGGATTGAGCACACTGGAATGTGATTAAACCATTTTTATATATAAAACAGCAGCAATAAAAACTATCGACTATATAAAATTGAACAGCATACATAACTGTATCGAATTAGATCTAAAACCAAAATTCTCATAAATCTATCCTAGATCATCATTGGGGGCCCTCAGTACATGAAAATTTGAGGAAAAGTTCGCTTCCTATATACCATCCGATGCACCTCAAAAAGCTCTACAAAACCATATGTATGGTGTCCTAGTTCTAGATAGGTCACCAAATCCGGCAAGGTCCTCTCCAGTTCATGTTCTGTCCGGAAATTTGATTTTGTTTATATCAGTAGTCAATATTCCATCAATTCTTCGAGCTACATTAACAAGTTGAACGTGGGTGGGTTTGGGTGTAGGATGAGGGTTTCTCTATGAACATAAGATTCAGACGCATCCCACACCCACGTCCTGAGCGAAGAAAATGCAAAACATGTAAATAATCAAGAATAAGTAATTGAATAGGTCTTCAAATTGAGTAATCTTGCTCATTGTACTTTGCATGAAGGTAGCACATGTACTTTTGTTGTATAGAAAGCTTTTATATAATAAAACAAATGAGGAAAAGGACACCAATGTTGATTAACTTGAAAAAAGATGGACAGTTATTGTTAATTTCTTGTCCTGTTGCTTATTCGAGTTACTAAAGAAGCTAAATTATTTATTTGAATTGTCGTTGAGTTTTGAATTCTACTTCATTTCAGTGTTATAAAGTTGAACTATTTATAATGTAGCCATCTAAAGTACGATCATTTTTTCCTGGTGAAACATTTTTCGAATGTATTTCTTTATAGATGTATTTTTCAACTCTGATTTGATCCATTACTTCTATTTGATTTCAGAAGAGAGATGAGAGAGACTCTCGTACAATTTCATAAATGAGTTTTACCAATAAGATAACGTTATCTGTGTGGTATACTGACAGTGAGATTCGGAGGAGGAAGTGAGAGAAAAAATGATTAAGATGGACTAGAAGCACTAAGCTACGTCGATAATATTGAGCTGACACTATGAAATCGAGAACAGATAGAAAGCAAACACAAAGGGAATAAGACTTTGAAGGATTCAAAATTGGTGCGATCTCATGTAAAGAGAAATGAAATGTAGCTAACTGTTCGAGAAATAAAAGAAAAACACTGTTCTTGTGTTGAAAAAAAATTAGTTTACAATGATTTCGATCTCGTGATTCAGAGTTTTGATCTATATTCTTGATATTTGCATTTCAGTCAGTTAGGCCTCACCTTTGGCTATCTTTCGGTGAAATCAGAATGAAAATTAGATATTGCTTTTTTTCTAGTAACCAACTTGTCTTTATAATGAAGTGCAAGTGTTTCAATAATTTTTTGAGTGACTGTATATATGCCAGAGTTGTAAAAAAAAGTAAGATTTTAAAAATGTTTTCAATCTCTTCAGCGATGATAGTGGATCAACATGGGTAAGTTATTTTTCTGCGTCATTCAGAAGACGTACTGACATTTTCTTGAGGACATGTAGTAGAAAAGAGTCTATTGTTTCTCAAGCAGCTGCTTCCAATAGCCAATATTCATCAAATTCATTGACAAAGATTTTATCCAATATCAATAAGCTCGACTAATTTAAATAACCTATTGTTTAACTTTTATAAATCAAAATCAATTGAATAGAAATCTTATTTGAAGAGAATTTACTTTTTTTTTTCATTTTTATTATCTGAAGATCAGATCGAATTTGACAATTTCGTATTATTATCAATAGGATTGAAACAACGAAGAAGAGAAAATTTCTCTCTAATTAAGAAAAAAAAGATTTTTAGATCAGATATTTTTTATTTTCAATGAAAAGATATTCAAAAGATTCTCCCATCATCATCATTTAGTTTATTTTCGGAAAAAAGAATCAGAATAATGTGGTATAAATCATAGCCTATTTATTATTTCTAGCATGTCTGGAAATATTTTTATTCTTCTGAACAAAGTTCTTTTGAGAAATTTTCTAGAAAACGGTACATTCTATTCTAAGTCGAGTCTAACTGATTAGGACAATAGATCAACATTTTTTTCTGTCATTGTTAATAGGATTTTTTTTCTCACTTGAACGTCCGTCAAAATTACTGAAAACCTGTCTTTCTGGTGCTGATTCAAAGTTCTCTGAAAAACATTATTCTTCAAAACTAAATTGAAGAATTGCTCAACCTTTCGAATTATAACTTGAATCTGAATAGCTTCACTCTATTTACTGCATCCATTGATCATCATTATGAGATTGAATATCATTTCAAACATTTTCCATAATCACTTTAATCAAATTCTTTCACCTTATTCTCTATTACCTTGTTAAGAGATATTCATAGCAGAATTCCAATTGATATATCTCGTTAATCGAAGTTCTATCATTTGACAAATCATATTGAAGTAAAATAGAAGATAATGTTCATTTCTTTCAATGATCAGAATTATATATCGATCTATTGATAATGTATTTGATGAATTTCTTTTTGAAATTCGACTGAAAAGATAGAAAATGAAATGATTTGTTGATAAATCTAGTTCAATGTTCAGTTTCTGATTCATCAATATGAATTTGCAATATGTGAACTGTTCGCACATTTAAAGATTTATACATAGAACTAAAATAAGAAAGAGAAGACTTATACATATCTGCTCTTTGATATTATATCTTGCTTTAAGTTTCTCAATTCAATGTAACTTATATCCAAATTCAATATCAGTTGATTCTGAAATAAATGAAAATAATTTTCCATCGTTGGCTAATTATTCATTAATTAATGCTCAAGAACGTTTAGTAACAATAAATTGGTACCGTAATAATTTGGGTAGTATAGTTGTTTATACTGTTAATTCTGAGTTTGAACAGGATAAAATTCCAAATGAAATTCTTTTACGAATATTTAATTCATCAACATTATTTAAAAAATTTTCTTCAATATTAATTGAAGTTTCATTATTTGTAGCAAGTCAATGTTTTCATTATAAGAATCCAACAATTTGTTCAGAAATTGATCTTAATCATTGTAAATGTTGTCTTATTAAAGATGATTTGAATAAAACATGAAATTCATTTGTTTTTATTAATAATCATTCAAAAATATGTGATTATATTCAATTATGATGTGAAAAGAAAAGATGTAATTCAATGGAAAATATAGTCAACGCTTGACAATTAACTTCTTTTGATTTCAATTTTGAAAAATATTTTCAATCATTATCAATAATATTTATGCTCGTTATATGTGTATTTCAATTATTAAACAAATGTTTATTATCAAAATCAGTATAGGATAGTTAGTCGAAATAAAATTGTTATTTTACAAAATCAAGCATGCACGACTTTGTGGAGCAGTGGGTGAACTGCGTATTCGTTTCACAGGAAGTGTTGATGTTGCTGTAGTAGTTGTTTTGTTGAGACGAGCAGTTGATGATGGTTTTTTTACGTCGACTAAATGTTTCTTTGGGTGTTCAATTTGAACTTCAGGTATCAATTGTTTTAATTTTACTAGTATTTGATCATATTCTTTGCCTTGCCACATATCATTGTTCTGGCAAGACCGGAAATCGATGTAAACTTTACCGGTGAATACCAAAGCCATCGGTCCTACTGGTGGCCAATCTTCGTTTAACGATTCCAAAAGCAATGGAATAATCGATTTTCCAAGAGCATCAGCCAACGACATTTCTCGCCGGCAATTTGTTGACAGAGTATATTTTGGTGTAACACAGGCAAGAACGCATTGCGCATTTCGAATACCTGCATCAATTTTAGCAAACAAAGAATCTCCACCACCCATTTGAAATATATCTAACCAAACACGATAACCAAGTTCAGTTAATCGTTTGTATAAAACTAAAATATCTGATTGACGATCCCATTGATAAGAAATCATTATTTGCGGATGAGATATCAGAAGAGGAATATCGGCAAGTGACGATTCTAAGAACAAACAAAAAATAGTAATGTTTATAACATTCAAACTTACGTGTGCTATCCTGCAATTTTGTTGTTCCCTTATCAAGCTGCTTGAGAAAGATCAAATTTTCCACACGAGGCATAAACCAATTCTTATATCGTTCAGTAATCATATCAGGATCTGGTGCTACATAGTATCGGATTGCTCCTAGCAGTTCTGTAAATTTGTCATCGGGCCAATAATTCGGATCATTTATTGCTTTTTTATCAAAGAATCGAATAAATAAATATTCACTCATCAATGGGCCAAGTGCACCTTCAGGTGGCCATGTTTGTTTTTCCATTTGTATGGGAATTAACGGTTTACCTATGCTAATAGCTAAATTGACTTGACCAACACACGAATCTGACTTTCCATAGTCTTTATTCATACAACAAAGAACAACTTTAGCACCTCGAATACCTTTATCAATTTTTGAATGGAGTTTAGAACCTCCACCCATTTGACCGACATCCATCCAACAAGAATAACCAGCTTCTTCAAGACGACCTTTCAGTTGAGAAAGCATCGCTTGTGAATTCCATTGATAGGAAAGAAAGATTGGTGGAAGCCGATGTATATCAAAATCAGCTATCTCATCAGGTATCGTTTCTCCTGCATCTCTGACACTTTTTTGAATAATGTCTTCAACATCTTTGCGACCGATTTCTTTAAGTACTTTCACTAAACCAAAGGTGGCTTCATCACTTTTATGTGTCATATACCATTCATTGAGCAGAGCCATGCAAGGATCAAATTGAGTGGACCAATGTCGTAACTCGCTCGATGAATATCCAAAACGTCTTCCAAGTAAACGCCAATCGTTTGATGTACGACGATTGAGTAATTTACAAACATCACTAGCCCAAATTGGAACATGACTGAGCGTTTTCGCATCAATACGTTCGATTTCTTTTTGATGAATGTCTACTTGTTCAGTTACATCTTGAAGTCGTGTATCAATGGTACCAACATGTGCTTTCATATTTGTCACCTAATCATCAATAAAGATTTTTATTCCTAATGACACTTATTCAAATACTTACTTTGAGTTCTTGCTGTTTGACCGTTGATCTAATTTGTTGAACATTTGTTTCGGTTTTTCGAACTTTTCTTTCAATAGTTTCAATTTCTTGGCGAGATTGTTCTAATATTTGTTGATTTTCTTTCGTCATTTTAGTATTATCAATAAAATGTACCAATTGCAAACAATCGAGTGCAACAAAATCCGCTCGTTTTTCTTCAACTACTTGTTTATGGCGAATGCCAATCAGTTCACAAGCATGTATCATTAAATTTCGGTTATATTGTGTACAACCATCTTTACGTTGTAATAAACGAATGAGTTTGTCGATATGATTCTTGGCTACGTTTTCTCCATTGATAATAGTCGATGAAATGAAATATTGTTCAAGACAATAGAAGACCGACGTATTTTGAGTTTCTGTTGCAATCCGAATTATATCTTTCTGATGTTTGTCAAAAAGATTCGGTTGTATACTAGCAACTGGAGTCAGAAATTGAAATAGACCATGAAGTTCAGCATCAGTTAGTTTGGGTTTTATTTTGAAAAGAGAAGTAAAAATAAGATCGATATGTGCCGAAGAAATTATTTCCGGATGATGTTTTCCGATAGTTTGAAGTAAAAGTAAATAAACACCACGAGATTGTGTGATGATATTGCTTTGAAACAAAACTTGAATCATTTTGTTAATACGTGCATGAAATGGTTCAGGTCGCTGTGAATAGAGATTCTAAACACAAACGCTAATCTCGATTAAACTTTATAAGAGACTAGAATTAATATTTTTACTTGTAATAGAGATATAAAATCAAATTGATCTCTATCAATAAATTCATCTAATAATGTTTCGACTTGATTAGTCGCGACTTGAGGAAAACGCACTCCGATTGTATTCCAAAATGTAGACCAACATCGAAAAAGATCTGTTTCATCTTTTTCTTCATTTCTTGCAACAGTATATAGTTTTGAAACTGATGGCTCATATATTCGAGCATCTTTCTCCGTGATTATCGTTTCAGGAAACTTTGACCATAATAGATCGAAAATTGCATGCCCAAAAGATACTGATCCATTTTCATTTTGTCGTGGTTGATCAAGAATGACAAGAAAAATAGAATTGAGTGTATGATGAATCGAAGGTGAAAGTGTTTTGAGAATTTCTGTGTAAATGCTAAGATATTCAGCCAAATTCTACACAAAACTAAAACTTTAAAATTTTATTGATGATAAATAAAATTACTCACAGTAAAAAATTCTTGTTCTGTTCCCTCGGTCTCATCATTTATATCATTTTCAAGTTGTAATCGAATATAAAGTTTTTGAAGAAGTTGAGAATATATATCTAATGTAATTTGTTTTCGATCGATTAGTTTAATCATAAATATTCCCATTTTATAAACATGAATTGTCCATTGCTGTTTATTTGCATAAGATTTTTTTGGTGGAGATGCCCATCGAAGACTGTATTTAAGAGCATGAGAATGTGTCTCGTGAAAGAGGTTGTTATTCACTTTTGCTCGATCATATATCGTACTGAGAATATCATTGAGATGGTCAAATTTATTAAAGTATGATTGTTCACTGAGAATAAAATCATCATAACTTCCACATAGATAAATAATTTTATCCAAACGTTTTCCGAGTTCTTTCCAAGGATAAAAATTTTCTTTTATGAGTAATTCGTCTGCACAAAATGGTGCTTCGGAGCTATGCAATTCGAGTATCACAATAGCGAAATCAAAGAATAATGGCCATAGTTTTTTATTTGCTTTTGTGTTTTTCAATTTAGAAGATAAATCTGAAAGAATTTGTCTTGTAAATTCTTCTCGCTGTTCAATTGATATTTTTGGTGAAATTCGAATAAACATTTGAAGCAAAGATTCAAGATTTGGAATAGCTGAGAAATGTTTTAAAAGAACATCGTTAAAAAAACCGTCTGCTTCTTTAATGTTATTTTTTAGTAATAGACTTTCAATCATAAGAACAACTTGAGGATAATTTACTATGAATAAATTGACTTGATTAGAAAATTTTTTTTGAATAAGTTCTTTATAATCGGAGTTTTCAGCAATACAATATATGCCTAAATCAACTTGAGCATCAATTGGATTGATGTAAGAATTAAATAATTCGGGAAGATAATCTATTAAATGTGACGTTATTTTAGACCAGAATGGTGATGAAGAAGAATTACGAGCTGAAAATCTGTAAATTAAAAATATCTCTTATTAACATAAAATTGAATTCTGCTTACCGGCAAAGTTGTTGAAATTTTTCTTTCATTGTTTCAAAAATCTTCTCATTCAATAAATCACTATCGAAAACATCATGACACCAGAAATTTTCCCAGGACTCTAATATGGATTGATTTTTAGATGTGAGTGTAAATGAATGTTTCTGTAGACTAAGAAGTAATTGTTCGATAAGTAGTATTCTTTGTGAGAGATATTCTCCCATTTTAAAATGTAGATATAGTTCTTGGAGAAAAGCCAAATGCCATAGATCAATTTGACCTTGATCAAATACTCGTATAAACACTTGAAAAACATAATCGAAAAGTGATTTATTGCTTTTTTTCTTATTTTCATAATCAAGGGCATCGATAATACGTGTAACAAATGTAAATTTTAGTTCGGATGGACAGGACGTCTGTGGTTCTTGAAGAATGTATTCAGCAAGAGCATCAACAATCGATGATATATTACCTTTGTCACATTTTTCTTCTAATTCATTTTCAATTTTCTTCCATTCAGAGTTAAATTTGCGATTATCGTGCGTCAATTTTCGAATAATATCTTCCATTGTCGACTTACTGTTATATTATGTCTAAAATGATCCAAGAAAAACAAATGACGTGTTGATTCTTTTTTCAACGCTTCGACCAAATATTAACATACAAAGATATAACATGCGCTCACTGCATAACTTTCAATCCTGATAGAGAGAAAGAAAAAGAGCACAACAAATTCTTTTGTTTGTCTAAGCGATAAAGATATCGTAAGATGACATTGAGTACCATAGACTTTGTATATTATTTATTATTAATTCAGTATCAATAGCAACAAAAAAAAAACAATTCGTAAATAAAGATAACAAGCTTGAATAAATGCGAGAAGAGTGTCATTTTGTAGAAGATGATCTATTGTGGTGTTGTCGCTGAACTCGATGATTGTGAAGCTGATGAAGTTTTAACAGTTTTAGTGGTAGTACCAATGGCAATTGGTGCACAAGCAATATGAGTTTCACCAGAAGCTCTAGCTTTGGTTTTGATTACTATTGTTGATATTAACGTTAAAAGACGATTAGCATCTTCAGCATCGCAATGCGGTAGTGGCAGCTATATTTTTAGATGTTTTTTATTGTCTATAAAAAACTTTTGTAATCATATTGATTGAAATGCCAGTAGCCCTTATATTAGTTAGAATTTTCCAAACTCTACATTTTATGATGATTTTCTGAACAAGAGGCACAAAAAGTTTTAATCTTGTGTTAATGAATAAGAATATTAGGAAGGAATATGGTATTTTCAACTAAAAAATTCTGATTACGTTCTATCACGATTGATAAATAAATTCTATGTGATTCTAACTTATGTAAATTATTCATTAAACTACAGTAGTGTAAGTTTTAAACAACCTCAATGATTTGAAAAAAGAATACGATTTTCGTTGACATCTATGTCTAGTAATTACATTTTTACTGTTATTTTTTCTTATTGATCGACGGCAATCCAGTTTATACTAAAAGATTTCCTCTGCTTTTGAGATGAGTTGTAAACAATCTTGGGATATGGATGTATCCATGGGAAATCGCCAGTCGATCCAGTGACCACGTCCAAATCCAATGAAACTTTCAGAGTTTCTAGAGCTTTTTGCGCTGATCATTTTGGTAAAAAAACATTTTAGAATGAGACCTTGTTTTTGCCAAAGTACATGTCAAATACTATTAGCACTTTTTCTAGTTTTTTGCAAAAACTAATGCGACATTGAACAGAAAAACCGATGAAAGTGCACTATTCTTCACTCGAATTTTGAAACCAATG